GGCCTTGACCTGGGGGAGGGGGAGGGGCATTTCACTAGAAATGTCTCTTGCATTCTCGAGGTGGGGGGACGGGGTGGCCACCTCCCTGGGAGGCGACGGAGGGGATGGGGTTGGGAGGTTCCTTCTAGCCTCCAGATCTTGAACCCCGGAGGAGGCGGGCTCTTGGGATCCAGCTGCTGGCCAGTCTTGGAGGTCACCCGGACCGGATGAGCAGGGGAGGTGTGTGTGTGGGACGCTCATCTTCATTTTGACCCTTCCTACCCCCTTGTCATTTTTTTTTTTTTTTGGCAAAAAACGGAGCAAGCAGATTCCACCTTCTCTGCAGAGAGAGACGTGGGAAGCACAGGTTCACCCCTGCCACCCCTTCCGGCCCAGTGCAGCAACCCCCCAGCGCTAGGAGGTGCTCGGTGACTTCCAGAAGGTTCCAAAAGCAGATAGGAACGCAGTGACCCCAGCATGCAGGGATTCTGGGGGGCGGGGTGGGGTGGGGGGGCTCCGGTGCTCTTTCCGGGTGTGTGGAATTCTCTGTGGAATCTAGATGTCTTCTTCTGTTTTCTGGGGTCTGTCTTTTCCAGTGTGTCATTCATCAAGGTGCCTAAAGCGAAAGTGAACTGACGGAGGGGTACGCGGGGTGTGGTCGGGGGCGGTGTCTGGAATCTACCCGCCCGTTTGAGCAGGCCACCCACTCCTGTCCGGGAGGGGGCGCTCGCCTGGGGGTGCCGGGCGGTCCCTCTGCAGGCCCCCCCCACCCCCCAGACTTTAAGGCAGGCGATTCTTGGCACAAGCAATCCTGGCCGCCTGGAGGCGCAGCTGGGTCCTTGGCTGGGGGGCCGTTCTGCCGGCGGACGGGGGTGGTCTTGGCGTGGGTCGGGGCTCTGTGGAGATGCCGCTCCGCGCGGCGACTTCGGAGGGGGCTGAGTTCTCGGGGAAGGGTCCCTGCGAGAGGACGTGTGGGAGGAAGGCTCCTCCCGCCTTCCTCTGTGGGGCGGGGGGCGGCGAAGGAGGGGTTATTCTTAAAATGTCTTTTTTTCTTAAATACCCGGTTATATTTCCAGTATGTGCTTCTTGACCCGCTTCTGGGAGGACACGGCGAGCCCTGGTTTTCCAGAGGCTTCTGCGCGCCCTGAATTGAGAGGGAGCTGGGGAGCCCCTTTCTGTCTCCCCTCCCCCTCTGGGGTAGGGCGGAGGGCTTCCCTTTGGCCTGGAGGGGCGGGATGGAGGAAGGAGGGGGCCCTTCTTGTGCACTTGGGCTGGGGGGTGTGCTGCGCCCCCTTCCTGGGTGTGTGTGGGGGGCCCGGACTGCATCCTCTCCAGGCGCCCCCTGGGGCGGGTCTCCGGGCCGGCAGGGTGGGGAGGGAGACGTGGGGGGCAGCGCCCAGGCCGCGG